TTGCCTCTTGTACACACTGGGAACAGGAATCAAACCCACAACTTAGGTATGTGCCCTGACTGGGAATTGAATCCGCACAACCTTTTGGTTACAGGATGATGCTCAAATCAGCTGAGCCACACTGACCAGGGCCATATTTTCTCAGAATGCTTTGTGTTTCTGTGGTTCAGTTGTTACTTGTCTTTTATTTCTGTTTTCATTCATTTGTTTTTTTTCTATTATTTTTCTTGATGTGACTGTTTAAATGTTTATCAATCTTGTTTATATTTATAAAGAACTAGCTCTTGGTTTCATTGAGCTTTAAAAAAAATTTTTAAGACTCTGTTTATTTCTGCTGCGATCTTTATTATTTTCTTTTTTAAAATTTTATTGATTATGCTATTACAGTTGCCTCATTTCCCCCCTTCAGTCCCCTCCACCCTGCACACCCTCTCCCACCCACATTCCTTCCCTTTAGTTCATATCCATGTGCCATACTTATAAGTTCTTTAGCTTCTACATTTCCCAAAGTATTCTTGCCCTCTCCCTGTCTATTTTCTACCTACCGTCTGTGCTACTTATTCTTTGTACCTTTTTCCCCTCTCTCCTCTTCCCACTCCCCTGTTGCTAACTCTCCATGTGATCTCTATTTTTGTGGTTCTGTTCCTGTTCTAGTTGTTTGCTTAGTTTGTGTTTGTTTTTGTTTTAGGTGTGGTTGTTAATAATTGTGAGTTTGCTGTCCTTTTACTATACATGTTTTTTATCTTCTTTTTCTTAGATAAGTCCCTTTTACATTTCATAAAATAAGGGCTTGGTGATGATGAACTCCTTTAACTTGACCTTATCTGAGAAGCACTTTATCTGCCCTTCCATTCTAAATGAAAGCTCTGCTGGATAGAGCAGTCTTGGATGTAGGTCCTTGCCTTTCATGAGTTGAAATATTTCTTTCCAGCCTCTTCTTGCCTGCAAGGTCTCTTTTGAGAAATAGGCTGACAGTCGGATGGGAACTCCTTTGTAGGTAACTGTGTCTCCTTATCTCTTGCTGCTTCTAGGATTCTCTCCTTATCTTTAATATTAGCTAATGTAATTATAATGTGCCTTGGTGTGTTCCTCCTTGGGTTCAACTTCTTTGGGACTCTCTGAGCTTCCTGGACTTCCTGGAAGCCTATTTCCTTTGCCAGAATGGGGAAGTTCTCCTTTATTATTTGTTCAAATAACTTTTCCACTTGTTGTTCTTCCTCTTCTCTTTCTGGTACCCCTATGATTTGGATGTTGGAACATTTAAAGATGTCCTGGAGGTTCCTAATCATCTCCTTTTTTTTTTTTTGAATTCTTGTTTCTTTATTCTTTTCTCTTTGATTGTTTCTTTCTTCCTTCTGGTCCTGCCCAGCTTTGTTTTTGCTTCTGCATGCATAAAATATCTTTTTCCATCCCTTCACTTTCAGCCTGTGTGTATATTTAGTTCTGAAATGGGTCTTTTGTTTTGTTTCAAACTTTTAAGCATTACTTTCAAGACTGAAATTTAATGCACTAAAGAAAAATAATCAGATAAAAGAAGCATTTGATTTACAAAATCCAGAAACAATAATTGTAATTTAAGAAAAAATATTTTATTTATGTATTTTTAGACAGAGGGGAAGGGAGAAAGAGAGAGAGAGAAGGAGAGAAACATCAATGGTTGGTTGCCTCTCATGCATCCCCTACTGGGGACCTGGCCCACAACCCAGGTATGTGCCCTGACTGGGAATCAAACTGGCGACCCTTTGGCTTGCAGGCCAACACTTAATCCACTGAGCCACACCAGCCAGGACTAATTTTGGTTTTTATATATATGCAAATTCTTTGATACTCTTCCCTTTCAGAGATGGAGTAATTTTCTCCTCCTGAGAGTAGGCTGGACTTACTCACTTCTAACTGATGAGTAAGGCTGATGTAATGGTATGTGACACTCAGTCTAGGATACAAGATTCATTGCAGCTTCTATCTTGGTTGCTCTCTCTTTGAACACTTGCTCTGGGGGAAGAAGTTACCCAGTCATTCAATGCCTTGTGGAAATGTCCACATGGTTAGGAACTGAGGTCTCTTGGGACTATCCAGGAAGGAAATCAGGCCTCTTCCAATAGCTACGTGGGTAGGCCATGTTTCATGCAAGTCCTCCAGCCCAGTCAGCCTTCTAAGGTGTAGCCCTGACTGACAACTTGACTGCAACCTTGAGAGAGGCCCTGATCTAGAAGCACCTAGGTAAACATCTCTGGGATTTTTGACCCTGGAAGATCAGAAACATTTTGTTGTTGTGACCTGCTAAGTTTTGGTAATTTGTTACGCTACAATACATAATAGTGTCCAAAGAAAGGATGAATTATTGTACTTTAGTTTTCATTTCCTTTAAATTAATTATAAGACATTAAACATGTCATTTGATTTTAAGATTTAAGAATTTCCATGGTTAATAGGCAGGATGCATTTTATTGTCATTCATAACAATCTATTTCTTTGAACTTCAATTTTTAACCGTGACCCAAATAAACACTAAAGGAAGAATAGGTTGTGCAAGGTTGATTCTATGATGGTCCATAATAATCACTCTGGTTATTCACCTTCCCAAGTTATTCAATCAAACACTAATGTACATGCTCCTTGCAAGTGATTTTGCAGCTATAACTAAGGTCTCAAATCAGTTGACCTGTTTAAGACAAGGGACTACCCAGGGTGGGACTGTCCTAAGCAGGTGAGTCATGATTGGGGTTCCTCCTAAGCAAAGAGATTCCAAGGCTGAGAGTAATTCAGTGTGTTATTTTGTCTACTGAGGGCTTTAAAGACAGGGGGCTTCATGGGAAAGAGACTGCTGGTGGGCACTAGGTCTTGGGAGTAGCTCTCCCTCAAACAGGGACCTCAGAACTACAAGTGGAAAAACTAAATTCTGCTAACAATCTCTACATAAGTTTAAAGAAGGATCCTGAACTCAGGATGAAGACACAGCTTTGTGACACCCTGACCAGAGAACCCCTCCACACCATGCCTGGGTTTCTCACTAAGGAACTGTGAGCAAATAAATGGGGGTTGTTTTTCAGCCACTAAGTTGTGGTGATTTTTATATAGAAATAGAAACTAATACATAGGCTCAACTGTGTAGCAAACACACAGCATTTTTTCCACTGGAATAAATTTGTGGAGCAACATGTACAGTAGTTACATGTAATAAAATATTTCCTAACATTTTTAGTGTTTTAATTTTATGGTTTTTATGCAATGTAATTAAATTTTAATGCAATCATCTTTCATTCATTCAACAATAATTAGTACCTAGAATGTACCAGGAATAGCTTCATGTGCTGGGATATGACTTTGACCTAGACAGCCCAAAGCCCCTATGCTCACGTGTCTTTCATTCTAGAGGCTTTAAAAGGGTGACATGGGAGACACTGGAGTTTTATAAAAAATGACACACCCTGACTCCTTACCAGGATCTCCATTCCCTGTGGGGAGAATCTCCATAGATGGCAGGCGAGGGGGTGATACTAATCAACAATCAAGAGAGGGTGATGGAGACAAAGGGGAGAAAAGGCCTGAGGGGTGAGAGAGACAGAATGGCTGGAGAAGCAGAAAGTGAGTAAAAGAAGTGGAGGTGGAGATTCAAAAGCAGTGGAACTCTCAGATTTAAATATGTTGGTTTACAGAGACACTGAAATAGAGGACAGGCTGACAGTGACCACAGGGGAGAGAAGAGGGAATTTCAGGGGACATTGGGAAGGGTTCACAGGAACAAACTTAAAGGACACATGGACAAAAACTAGGGGGAGAGTGGTAAGGGAGGGAAGTGGGGAGGGTTGGGAGGTGGGGCTAGATTGGGAGTAAAAGGGAGAAAACTGTATTTGAACAATGATTAAAATAAAATTAAAAAAAATAAGTATGTTGGTTTATAGATCTTTAATAAACATATCTACAGAGCCTAGCAGGATGTTCTTTGCATTTGGTGTTGTGAACCCTGAGAAAGAAGACGCCTACTAAGATGGCCTCCTGATGGCTAACTGGGCTAAAATTTCAAACAAACAAAACAAAACAAACCCCAGAACAGAGCCTAGCAGCCATTTCTACCCAGGGGCCTCTCAAGCAAACTGCATTTCCGGGAGAGAGGCCTGTTTGAGTGGCCTGTCTCTGCACTGATCTCTAACCTACAGCTGTGGCTCTATTCAGACCAATCAGGACAGTGACTTTTGGACAAATCAACTTGCCATGTTGGGTGCCTTCATTTGCATGTTGAGGAAACAGTCATCAGGGACCAGGAGGAGGGACTTCTGTCCAAATAAGCTACTTCCCCTGGGCTTTGAGTCTCGTTCTGGCCGGTGCAGCTCAGTTGATTGGAGTGTCCTCACAGTCCTCTGAAAGGTCGCCTTGTTTCATCCCTGTTCAGGGCACATACTCAGGTTGTGCGTTGGATCCCCATTTGGGGTGCACAAGGAAACTAGTTGACGTCTCTCTCTCTCTTCCTCCCTTCCTCTCTTTGCACAATGAAAAATTGTCCTCGGGTAAGGATTAAAAAGACTGAGTCTTCCGGGCTGAATTTCACTAGAGCAGAAACCAGCAAACCAGTGTAGACTGGTTTGAGGAGACTGGTCACAGCTGAGCTGTTTTTGCACTCAATCAAGTTTCCTTCACCAGCACCCGAAACAAGGGATTCCTGTTGGCGTTGCAATTGCCGCCAATGCCCACCTGGAAGAGAAGGAAAAGGGGCTGAACCCAGCCTAGGGTTTCTCGGGCTGGCTTTCTCAGACAGACCCTAGGGCACAACTCCGGGATACAGTGCGATGAAGACTCCCGGAGCAGCGGGAGGAGTCAGGGCAAAGACCCAGGTCCCCGAGCCTGGCTCTCCGGGTCTCAGCCTGCAGGACGAGTCTGGGCGGGGAAGCGCAGTGTTGGGCAGCACCCAGCTCTCAGCGGTTTCATTTCTGCCTCACAACCTGTGCGGCGTCCTCCGTCCTGGATACTCCTGACGCGGCCCCAAGAGTCGCTCAGAATGGTGTCTGGCTTCCGGAGAACCAATCAGCGTCACCGTCGTCACGGTACCACGCTTCCGCGGACCCAGCAGAACTGGAGAAGCCCCGGACCTCTAGGATGCCGGGCGTGAGGCCCCCAACCGTCCTGCTGCTCTTCGAGGCCCTGGCGCTGACCCGGACCTGGGCTGGTGCGTGCGGAGTCGGGAGGGAAGGGCCTCTGCGGGGGAGGAACGAGGGGACCCGGAGGCAGGGGCGTTTCCGATATCCCCAGCCCCGATACCAGACCCCACCCTACTCACGCCCATCGCGACCCCGACCCCTCTACTTCAGACCCGAGGGTTTCCCGGGCGGGGGGCCGGCGCCGCGAGGAGGGTCACGGGTCTCAGCCCCTCCCCGCCCGCAGGTCTGCACTCCCTGAGGTATTTCTACACCGCCGAGTCCCGGCCCGGCCGCGGGGCGCCCCGCTTCACCGCTGTCGGCTACGTGGACGACACGCAGTTCGTGCGGTTCGACAGCGACGCCGCGAACCCGAGGATGGAGCCGCGGGCGCCGTGGATGGAGGGGCCGTGGGTGGAGCAGGTGGACCCGCAGTACTGGGACGTAGAGACGGGGAATGTTAAGGAAACCGCACAGAATTTCCGACTGAACCTGAACAAACTGCGCTCTCACTACAACCAGAGCGAGGAAGGTGAGCACGCGGGTCCGAGTCCGGTGACAACCCCCATCCCCACGGACGGGCCTGGATCACCCCGACCTTTACCCCGAGGCTGCGGGACTTGCCCAGCCCCTCACCCGGGAGGAGCCCTCTGGGACTTGGACCAGGTTTCATTTTCAGTTCAGGTTTGATCCCCGCGGGACAGGGCAGGGGCGGGGCTGACCTCGGGGCGGGGCCAAGCCTGTAAGACTAACCTCGGGGGGCGGGGCCAGAGCCTCACACCTTCCAGTGGACCTACGGCTGCGAGGTGAAGTCAGACGGCAGCTTCCACCGCGGTTACGACCAGTTCGCGTACGATGGCGCTGACTATATCGCTTTGAACGAGGACCTGAGCTCTTGGACCGCAGCGGACACGGCCGCTCAGATGTCCCGGAACCTATATGAGAAAGTGCATGAGGCGGAGGTCCAGAGGAACTACCTGGAGAGGGAGTGCGTAAAGTGGCTATGCAGATACTTAGAAAAAGGGAATGAGACTCTGCGGCGTTCAGGTACTAGAGGCAGAGGGCCTCTCTCCTCTCCCCTGGGGCTGGGCGTCTACTAAGAGGAGAGAGAAAATGGGATCATACTAGAATAAGACCCTCCTGTGGGTGGGGAGACTGACGATCCAGTACCAGAGAGTGACTCCCACCCCTTTCTCAGGGACAGTTAGGGGTACAGTACAGTCTCTGGGGATGGAGGGGGAGACCAACCATGCAATAACCGATCAGCAAATACCTTAGACCAGGGGTGTCAAACTCATTTTCGGCGGGGTGGGTGGGGGGCGGGTACCACATCAGCCTCCAAGTTGCCTTCAAAGGGCTGAATGTAATTTTAGGACTGTATAAATGAAACTGCTCCTTAATTAGGGGCAGGGAGCCTGGCGCTGCCGCAGGGTAGAAACAAGGTGCCGGACAGGATAAAACAAGATGGAGGCCGGATTCTGCCTGGGAGCCTTGTGTTTGCCACCTGTGCCTTAAACCCTGGCAGTGGGTGCGGGGCCCATGGAGAACTAACTTTCTCTCAGACCTTGTTTGCTGCCCCACGCCCACTCTGTCTGAGGTGTGACCCTGGATTTTCTGAGTCCTTTGGTCTCCACGGAGGTCTGAACCAGAAATCAATTACCTCCCCTCAGAGGCCTGCCTCTTACCCTGGGCTGTGTCATTCTGATTCTAGAACTTTCCAAACACTAGGGGATCATCCCAGATGCCTTATGTCCAGGCTGGTGTCTGGGTTTTGTGTTCCCTTCCCTCACTCCAGTGGTCATGTCCATTCTCAGGATGGTCACATGAGTGCTGCTGGAGTAGCCCATGATGGATGAAAAATTCCTGAATTTTCTGACCCTTCTCCTCAGACCCTCCAGAGGCACGAGTGACCCGCCACCCCACCTCTGAGCGGGAGGCCACCCTGAGGTGCTGGGCGCGGGGCTTCTACCCTGCGGACATCGCCCTGACCTGGCGGCGGGACGGGGAGGACCTGACCCAGGACACGGAGCTGGTGGAGACCAGGCCCACGGGGGACGGGACCTTCCAGACGTGGGCGGCAGTGGTTGTGCCGCGTGGGGAGGAGCAGAGATACACGTGCCACGTGCAGCACGAGGGACTGTGGGAGCCACTGATGCTTGGATGGGGTGAGGAGGGTCCTCCAGGGACTTCAGCGGGGTCAGGGCGGACCCAGGGGGCAGGGCCCTCACCTTCCTGTCCCTTTGCAGAGCCCCCTCCTCAGACCAACACCATCATCATCATCTTGGGTATCACTAGTGGCCTGGTCCTGCTTGGAGCTGTGGCGACTGCAGCTGTGATGTGGGAGAGGAGGCGCTCAGGTAGGAGCGGGTGGGGTCTGAGTTTCTAATCCCACTGTGGGTATTAAGCCCAGGTAGAAGTGTGTCCCACTTCATTAATGAGAAGCACCATCCACATACGTGTACTTGCCCAGTCTGGGGCCCTATTGCTAACACATACTGTTTAGTCAGGCATGTGTGAAAATGAAAGACAAATTTATCATCTTAATGAATCTGGTGATGGGGACCTGCTTCCCAACAGTCACAGGTCAGAAGGGAGGTCCCTGCTGAGGACAGGCCTCCAGGATAGTGGTTGGTCCCAGTCCCTGCACATGAACTTCCCTCAGGTTTCCCGATTCTGCCCTGGGTCTGTAGTCAGAGTTCTGGAAACTTACCCGGGGTCCAGCACTAGGGCTTCCTTTAGGACCTGATGGCCCTGCCTCCTCCCTGGTGTCTCACAGGATGTTTTCTTTCCACAGGTGGAAAAGGAAGGAGCTATGCTCAGGCTGCCAGTGAGTATGAAGGGGGGACCCCTGAGACCCTGTGTAAGCGTAGATTGGAGCCCATGGGGGACCTCCCCCTCCCCCAATAGTTCCTCCTTTAGTCTCCTCTCCTGGGGCTCTGACCACATCCTGTTTTGTGCCACCCCAGGCAGTGACAGTGACCAGGGTTCAGATGTGTGTCTCAAAGCTTGTAAAGGTGAGTCCCTGATGGAGAGGGGGGTTGGGGTAGAGGGGTGGAACTGGGTAATGGAGATTCTCTGGGACATTTTGAGCATCAGGTAGACATTTGAAAATGTTACCACTTAAAGCAACTGACTTAAATTTGTTCGTGGTTATTTTTTTCTACAGCGTGAGACAGCTGCCCTGTCGGGGAATGAGTGATGGAAGGTTTCTCACAAGCATATACCCGCCAGCCCCTGTTTGTGACTTCAGGGACATCTCACTTCTCTTTCTGCAAAGAGCATTTGAATGTCTGTGCTCCCATCAGCATCATGTGAGAAGGTGGGAGGTGGGCCCACCCCACTCACCAGCCCCCCTCCCCACACTCCCCTGCTCCAGCAGAGGTGGGGCGGGGCCCTCCCCATCCCTGTCTGTGCTTCCTAGTGCCCTAAGCTGTAGCTCCTCACTCCCTTATGAAATAAGACTCTGGTTATGAATTTGTTTTTTCACTTTCTGCCATTAAGGGCTGATGGAGCTCAGACAGACTGGGAATCACTATGGTCAGTGACAGAGGAATGGTTTTAAATCCACACTTAAAAGTGTTTTGCATTTTTCTTAGGGAGAAAAATATATTGAGATATAATGTTGGGAGTTACCATGGGATAGAGTCAGGTGGAAGATTTAGGAAGTGGGCCCTGTGTCAGCATAATAAAATCTCTGAGTGCTTGCTCTCTGAAACTGTTCCCCAGATGTATTTCTTGGAATATATCTGGGGAACAGCAAACACTGGAATCCCAATTTTTTATTTACATATAAAGTATATGTATGATATTGGGGTCTAATGTTATTTTGGGGGAAGCCACAGAAGAGGCTCTAGGACACAGCCAGGAACAATCGAGAGGCCAGCCTGGGTCGGGTCCCACACAGGAACCACTGCCTTGCTGCCGGGCACAGATGTCATCGCTAACCGCACTGACCCCTGAGGTGGGACCTGGTCCCTGCTGCTAGGACTGCTGTCTCTACTGCTCTAGCACCTGGACACTTATGCCACTCCTGCCACTCTTGCCAAATGTATTCTGTATAGTCCCAGCCCCTCTGTGTCACCACATCCTGAGTCAGAGTCTGGCATGTGGTCACCTGACTGGTGGGGCCTCATGTTGTGTCTAGAAGCACAAATGTTGGAGAACGTGGGTTTCCCTCTTTTATGGAGGGATGTGGTCTCTGCCTCTGACCAAGACTCTTCATATGTGGAATTCTTTCCATGTAGGAGGGAGTTCAGGTGCTGGGGTGAAGGATGGAAAAAAAAAGACTAATCTTAATTGTTGGAGCAAAGATCTGAGACTGAAATTTCTGATACTTTGCAGGCACTTAGGTTTTGCTGGATGAACAGTGACTAATAAATGCTGTGTTTCTGCTCATTCCCTTGATTTTGTTACTAGGATTCAGCATTTCTCTACTCCAGTTTATACTCTCAGATAAGTGGGTGACTAATAAATGCTCACATGAACAGTGACTAATAAATGCTGTGTTTCTGCTCATTCCCTTGATTTTGTTACTAGGATCCAGCATTTCTCTACTCCAGTTTATACTCAGATAAGTGGGTGGCATTCCTGGGATGGTGAAATGATTACTCAGAACATCTTCTCCCTGCCTTTGTCTCTTAGTGGGTTAGAATACCCAAGTCTGGGAAGTATACCTCTTCCCAAGTCTGGGAATACCCAAGTGCTGTTTACTATTATAGTTTATTATAAATGATACAAGTGAGCAGCCAGATGAAGAAGTATATGGGCTGAGGTAGGGAAGGGTCTCAGTGCAGGAGCCTCTGTCCTCATAAAGTTGGAAAGTGTCACCCCCTTCCATTCCAGCATATGCATGTGTTCACTACTTAAGAAGCTCTTTGAACCACATTAAGAATTCTTGAAGTTTCACTAGGTGGCCGAGACTGATTACATCATTGGCCATTGGCGACTGAAATAGAACTCCAGCTTCTCTCCCTAGAGGTTGGAAGTGAAGCTGAAAGTTCCATCCTGATGGACAAGCTTAGCCTCTCTGGTAACTAGCCAACTAGCCCCCATCCTGAAGCTGTCCAGGACCTTTGGCCAAGTGCCATCTCATTAGCATCCTTGTCACTTAGGAGGTTCCAAGGGTTTCAGGGGCTCTCTGCCAGGAACCAGGGGCAAAGACCAAATATTTTGCATTACACTGCAGGTCTTTGGCTGCAGATTCTTTGTAATAAAGTATTCTAACAGTTTACAGATGCTGGCACATCACTTGAGTCCCACTGAGTCATTAATAAGTAGTACAGTCCCTCCTCCTCTTGCATGAAAATACCTCCCAGAGCCTGGCCCCTCAGGTCTGCAGGCTCCATTTGATCTTGTCAGGGTCCAAAAGCAGGAAAGATCTCAGCTACATATGACTTAATCCTTTCCAGCATCTGCTATAATTGAACAAAGAGACAACATCATGTCTTGCTCACACCCCTTTGAGGTGATGACATAATGTTGGATTTCCTGATTCATTCATTCCCTTACCTACAGCTATTTTTCCTCCTCCCCATGTGTACTACACTTTCTACCCTCGGAAGGGACATGAGCTTTGGCTGCTGACCTGGTCTAGACCACCAGCAGCAGGACCCGTTTAGCATGTGCCTCCCCCTCAGTCCACTCCTGTGCAGAGGGGAAGGTCCCCAGAGCAGGACAAGTAGGCATCTGGCCACCATGGATATAGCTGTGATTACTTTCAGCCCCTTGGGAATCAGCCACAAGGTGAACAACACAATTACATTCTTGCTCAGGAACCATCCCTGTTCCTGGCCTTGGGCATGGTAGCCCCTACTGAGGCTATAGAGTCAGGGGAAGGAAGGAAGGAAGAAAGAAAGGGAGGAAGGGAAGGTGAAATGTAGTCATTCCAATGTCCTCCCCACCTGGGATGAATTGTGTAGTCATACCCGCATCCTCCTACCCCAGACCCACCAGGGAAGAGAGAGGAAACTGCCCAGTGAGGACACCCTTGGAGCCCCTCTCAGATGACCGTGAGCACACACTCATTAAGGAGTATCAGCAGCCCACTGCCTCTCCAGCCCTTCGACACTGTTTAGACAACCAAAATTTCCACGGCCCAAGCCAGTTTTCCACCAAACTATTACTTTGAGAAGGACACCTCTCTGTCCACATCAAATTATTATGGGCTGCAAAGATGTTTTCTGGTTTGAAGCAATGTAACTCAGCAGTCCAACTTGGTGCAGTGTCTGCTGTTTGGGTTCTTATACAGCTTCTGAGCATTTGTATGGACACTGGATAAGCCAAGGCTAGGCCACAGTCAGTGTCTTTTCCTGTCAAGACCCATTTCTAGCTGCCACCCTGCATTTACCAGCATCAGTTTGACTTGCCAGCCATGTTCAATGTCTTTCCACCAGGGCATCTGTCCCCCAGACATCTGCAGTCTCTGTCTCGTTGGTAGACAGAACAATTATTTTTCATATTTTGTGTCTTGGAGGTTGCAAGGTTAATATGTCTAGACTTGGCCCATCTTGTGAAGCCAGGTGGCCAACTCAAGTGAAGACAGCAGGATGTCCACTCATTAGTTCCAATCGCCTTCCAAACCTGGAGTGTATTATAGTGATGGGCATTGACACGTACTGCCTTTAACATACCCTCATGTTCCAACAGTGATTTCAAGAGGACAGTGCACATGTGGGTGTTGTTTTAAAAGGCCAGGTTTCCATTGCTCTTCTGCCCAAACATGTGGCCACTACCTGTGAATTGGCAAAAACCAAACCACAAGGACTTTCATCTTTGTTCAATTCTTCCATTGCTGCTAGGAAAACGGTATGCACTTAAGCTCACTGGCCTGGGCTGTTTTTACCTTCCTTGGTCAGAGCAGCAGCTTTCTAAACACTATATTGTCCATTTACCTTGCAACTGCCATTTATAAACCAAGCAGCTCTTTGTAGGTCAGTTGAGAATGTTTATAGGACACTGTCCAATTGACAATAGGATCCAGCATCTTCTCATGCTGTTCCAAAGTCAGTCCCAGGGGAAAAGAGGCTTCTTGCTCCTGAGTGTATCCTCCTTACATTCACTTCCCTGGGTTCATGATCCTGTATAAACCATTTCCACTTTTTTATGGAACTCTTCTGGGAATTGTCCTCCACATTCAAGTGTTTGTCCAACATTATCCAAGACATCCTGTGTTTCTCAGGTTTCAAGATTGTTTTGCATCCTTTGGTCATAGGAATAATTTCAATTAATGTCCAATAGCAAGCTAACCACTGCCCCTCAAATGGAATTCTCCAGATAAAGTCCCACTAGTCATCCTGAGAGGTGCTCAGAGACTTTGCCTTGCACTTGGCAGCTGCTGCACATGGGCCATGGTGCAGAGATGGTGTCTGCACTGCCCCTGCAGCTTCGCCATATACCGGCTGCATCCCATTTAGCACATCCAGTTCACACGGCTTCAAGGCAGGTTTGCGCCTCTCTCCTACATCACTAGGGAGGGAAGTGCTCCTCTGTCAGACAGGATGTCCTCCCTCAGTAACATTCAAGGAAGGGAGACACAACCTCTTAAAGCTAATTAAATTAAACATTCCAACTTTCATTCTGATTTTCACCTTCATCCTTTCAAATCTTTTGAATATTCTCTCAATCTAACTGCAGCCCACATTCGAGCTTCACCAACAGGTTTTGGTAGCACAGGCACTGGGTTCCTGTGCAAAGGAGCCAGTCTAGGCCATGTGCCCACTCCTCTCCAGCCCTAGACCACTCACCCACTCTTGTGTATACAAGGCACTGGGTCCCCAGCTGGAGATTGAGTCAACTCTGGCTGTTAGTCAATCTTTACCTTGATTAATCTGTCAAACTATTGATTTCCCCAAGTGATTGCAGCTCAGATTTCCTACTGAGATCTTTGCCTTTCTGCTTTTTAAATTCTTTCAAACTGGGCTAAATATACCCATCTTCTTTGGGGCCCTTTAATTTTGGGGGTCCCTTTACTCCCCCCAACCTTCACTGGTGCTATGTATAAGAACTTTGCTTTAATTTATTTTTATTTAATGTTTATTTTATTCTGTGTTGTTTTTTTTTTCAAACAAACAAAAAGCTCTTGCATTAAGAATACAAACAGTAACCTTCCGGAAAGAAATAGTGATGCCTCAGCCTTTCTTGCTGCAGAAAGTGCATATTTTACGGATGATTAAGGCTAACCTGACCTACACACCCAAGGCAAATCAGGAGTGATTCAGATTGTTATCTTTATTTCTCTAGGCTAGGCCTTGAGAATACATTGGGACACTGGGAATGTCCCCTGTGGACAAACAGGAGTCACATACTAAACCTGACAAGCTCAGGAGAGGCCTTTGTGATGGCCTTACAAACTCAGAGACCTAAAGAAGCCACATACTGATAGAGGACTCAAGAGTTGGAAAATTTTAGGTAAATAGTTAATAAGTGTAGTAGGTAATACATATGTTAAAGCTGCTGTTTCAGGAACTGCAGGTATGGCTTACCACTACAAGAGACAGCCGACCTCCTGGGGCACAGCTGGATACATCCGAGCCATTGTGTTCCAGGGGCAGACAGACAACTGCCTGCCTGGGGACAGCTAACTGAATGCTGCAGTTTCTTAATCTAATTTTCCCCAAATTCAAAACCCCTCACCACATTTTGCTCTCTGTTATTAAAAGGCTGGCTTGGAAGGAAATGTAAGATGGTCTGTTAGGGTACAAATGCACTGTCTTCTTAGATCACTGGCCATCTGAATAAAGCACCCATAAAGATTCAATCCCTGTCTCTGCTTATTGGGTCCGGTACATGATAGGCAGCACGAATGCTGGCTTTTCCAGTTTCAATACAATGGCCTGAAATTAAAACTTTCTAACTAAAAGCAGTTCATGGCAGGTAGCCATGTCCTATGCTAGAATCTTCCTAACAAAAGTCAATCTTTACCTTAATTGAGCCTGTCTATTATCTTTTTGCATCTATAATAACACACTTTGGAATGTCAAGGTAACTTCCCTTTTTCCAAACCCCTCACACAACCACTATACCAGAGCAGAGACCACAAGTTCCCTCATTGTTATTGGTATTGTGTTAATTGTTGACTGTTAACTATCCTGTACTTACCAATGTAAAAGAAATATGTGCCTATCATTTTACTTTTTATCCATTCCCAAAGGTTTCCCTTCCCTGCCCCCACCCCCACCTTGCTTTCTCCTGCTTCCCTAGTCTATCACCAATGAATTTCATGTAACTCCCTTATGCCTCCTCTTTTTGTTAGGTAGAATAGATAGGAAAAAAAGGTGGGGACGGGGAGGGATACACGTTCCACACACTGACTCAGCAATCCTTGGAATTCTATGTATCTTTTCTATTACCTGGGAAAGAAAGTCTTTGAAACTGTGCTTTCATCCCAAGGCCCAAAAGGCCCAAATACCTTTGGGTAAACACACCCCCATCCTGGAAAGCTAGCACCACCTTTACCAGTCAATCAATATGTAACTTCTTCACCCTCCCCCATCCCACCAA